TGCATGTGTCCCAAAAATCCCAAATTAGACCCAGGGCCCCTTTCGGCCAATATCGCAATTCCGGCACGGCGGCTCCGCCGTGCTCCGGCAAGCGGCGGCGATTCGCCTCGAGTTGGCCGTTTTCGGCCGTTTCCGGCCGAATTTGGCCACACTTGCATCGGTCCCTGCGATGAAATAACCCTAGAGCCCTCGGGGGGCCAAAAAATTACGAAAAACCGAAGCTTACCGGCGGCGGTGCTCTCGGGTGCGGCGGCTCTCCGGTGAGGTTCGTGTTTTGGTGATTTGGCTCCGATCAACCTGTAGAGAAAAGAATGGTGATCACGGTGATATAAAAATTGTATCAAACGGAGACCGGGAAAGGCCTCATCGGAGGCAAAAACCGAGGAGGGGCGCAACGGCGCCGCTGGGTTTCGGCCGTGTTTTCCGGCTGTTTGGCCGGGATTTTGGCTCCGATTTGGCCACAAGGGAACTCAGCATTGAAAAACGAGTCGGAGGTATGAAATTTACCTCGATCGGCAGTCGGAAAACTCCTCGATGCGGCGGCAGGTGGCGGCGGCCGGCTCCTCCGGCGTCTGGTTTGTATTCTACGGCGAGGGCAGGCGGCTAGGGTTTTTGTGGTAAGTGTTGGGGGGTTTTATTTATACCCTTTTGCCTTTTAATCACAGCTGTCCATCTTGATTAAATCTGGGCCGTTCGTACTTGATTGAATCTGGGCCATCCGTGCGCATGCATCTGGGTCCGTGTGCGTGCATCTGGGCCGTCCGTGCGCACGCTTGATCTGGGCCGTCCGTGCGCGCGGGGACGCATCTGGGCCCGTTCGATCGCGCGCACGCGGATCGCCCACGTGGCCCGTTCCCGGGTCGACGTGGTCTTGCCACGCGGCAGGTCCTGGTTGGCCAGGGCTGTTGATTGGGCCGCTGACGTGGCTGCTGACGGGGCACAATTTTTCTAAATTGCATTTTGACCCCCGGTTTTCGATTTTCTTTTCAAAAATACCCCCAGAATCCAATTTTTCACCCCTTTTTTCCAAAATCAATTTCAATTAAATCCAAATAATATTTTTACCTAATTTTATCATTATTATTATTTTATTTTTATTAAATTAAATTAAATTAAATAAATCAATTAAAATTCAAAAATTATAAAATAAACTAAATAAAATAAATTAAAAAATCAAAATAATAATAATAAAAATTATAAAATTAATGGGTGTGACATTGTTTATATAACTTTAGTAAGATTTATATCATAAATAAATAGATGAAACATTTTTGAGAGATTAAGAAGACAAATAATTGATATAAATAATTAGATAAATTTTTAAAGTTCAACCAATTAAATAATGTGATTTGTCACTATGTAAACTTTAAGTTAATTATTCTTTTTAAATAATTTAATATTCTACATTAAATTAATTGGAAAAATACAAAACTTTTACATAGAAACAATATATAAGAAAGTAATATATATTGTAATTATCATAGTATCCAAATGTAATAATTTGTTTATAAACATTCTTTTTCTTTATTTAGGAATTGAGAAATCAAAATGACACATAATTAATATAAGTAATTTCATAAATATTTAAAATGTAACCAGTTAAGAAATGACATTTATTACTGTCTAAGTTCATAATTAGGTATTATTTTAAAATAATTAATACGAGTTATACTGTATTAATTGTCAAGAAACTCAACTCTTTCGAACAATAAATGAAGATTTATATATATATATATATATTATCTGTAATTACTTCACCATTTTTCTGATAGGTACTACATGGATTATCACAGATATTTCTTCTTTTAGAAAAAAATGTTAAAAAGAAAAGCAGAAGGAAACTAAAAAAGAAAGCAGAAGAAAGGAAGTTTCCAAGCTCTAGAGGAAAGTAATATGCATAACAAGCATCTACCACTTCACAGTAGCACTTCCCCTCCTACCTCCATATCAATCAGAAGTCAAAACAAACTCAGAAATGTTTTCTGCAAAAAAAATTAGTATACCAATCCATAAGCTCCTAAATAAAACCAAGTAAGATCTTCCATGAGAACAAATAACCATTTTTTCTCTCTCTTTCCTTTGAATCCGCCACTGTTCACCATTGCTAATCTTGAAGTTCTTTTTTGAGCTTTTCTTTTTCCACATCATACATAGAAACAAAAAATCAATCCTCACATCTTTACTTAAATGATAGACAGCTATAATCTCTATTTCATTTTGCAATATATCATCATCCTTGGCATCGCCATTTAAAAAATTCCATTGATATTCTGCTTGTAATTTGCAAAGGGATTATGTGGCGATCATATACCATTAATGCATTTAGGTTGTTTGTCTTGTTAAATTATTCCTATTTTTGTTTGGGGGATTGCTTATCCTCCTTTAGCTTGCATTTTTTCCCCTCCCGTCTAATAAAATTTCTTCTTTTATCAGTAAGACAACATCAGCTTTCCTTGGCTTTATTGACTTTTTTCAACTCATTTTTCTCCTATTTCTTACTTATCTTATTGTCTTCATGGCCAAGTGTCTGGGAACCTGAACGACAGAGAATTGAACAAACTGACCACTTTAATTTATTTAATTGATGGTTTTGGCTTCACCCCTAACCTGATTGTTGAATTTGGAGCATAGTTCTCTCTGGTGATTACACCTGCAAGTTCTCTTGTTCCTTGTTAGTGTTCTCTCTGACACCTTTGGAAAGTAAAAGTTCCTTCGATGGTGTGAGGGCCTCATAAATCTCCTTCTCTCAACATTTATTTGATGTATTTCCACAGTTTGAGACTAATAGCCATCTGCTTCTTGATTGCCTTATGGTGTGAAAGCCACAGTCTAGGTCGTTTTCTTTGTTTGGTGATGGCTGGGTTTTCCCTTCTCATTTTTGGTGTACAGGGGACTAAGGAGCACAATGTTTTGTGAAAATGGCCTTTTTCAGTTAATGGAACATTTGGTTGGAACACAGTAATAGGATCTTTAAGCTCTACTTTCAATCAGCTCTATTTGTTTGGGAATAGACTGTTTTTCTTTGCTCGCCTTTGTTTAATGCACATGGCTTCTTTCGGGGGATACCTCTATCTTCTTGGCATTTGGATTAAGTGCTTCTTTTTCATGATGTATTTTATTTGTTTTTTCTTTGTGCTCCTTGATATTATCATCAGTATCCAAAAGCTTCCCTCAATTGCCTGAGATAGAAGAAAAGAGATTATTACTTAATCTGGTAATCTAACCAAGTGAACCCAAGACACCATCTTGTCAGTAAGAGAGTATTTGTCAATACTGCTGCCTGTGGGAACCCAAAACACAATCTTGTCAGTAAGAGAGTATTTGTTAATACATCTTTCTTATATTACTGTTCTTGCTTCTTGTTCTCAAGCAGAGGTAGGTAAAAAGGATCTAAGGTACATGTCACCTTCGAATCTGGTAATTTCCAATACCAATAACCCAATCTTATCAATAGAAAGATGGTTTGTAGCCTCACTTAATCTATCAACTAAACATCTACCAACAAAAGGGTAACCTCTATGGCAATGATCCGCAACAGTTACTACAGACCTAACTTCATCTTGATGACTCTAAACCTCCATCTTCTTGATGACTCTAAACCTCAATCCCCTTGAAGTCTTAAGTCGTGATTCATATATTCACCTCTTGTCAACATTTGTTAGGTCATATTTTTCTTAAGGCATGTGAATTATTGGCAGAGATGGGTGGCTTGATTTTACTATGGGAGGTTGTTTTGCTCAAACTAATTAATTCGCTTGTTGGATTCAATTTTTAGGCAGAGAAGGTTATACTGGGACTCAACAAAACTTTTCCTTCGGATGGTTTGCTTCCCATCTATATCAATCCTGAAAGAGTAGGCGGATCACACTCTACGATAACCTTTGGTGCCATGGGAGATAGGTATATGTTCTTTAAGAATCACTATTTAATATTGTTGTTATTGTTGGTGGTCCTTTTATCAATGGCCATGTAGTTAAGCTAGATAATGGCTGAAAAGGTCAAACTGCACTTCAATTTCATAAGTTTGGTTGTGGTTGTGTTATGACTCTTGAAATTTAATTACAGCTTTTATGAATATTTGCTGAAAGTTTGGGTACAAGGGAACAAGACTTCAGCTGTAAAACTTTACAGGTGAGAGTTTTAATTGCCGTGCTCTTCTCTAAGTGTATGTATAAGGATATTGTGCAGAAATCTGTGTGTAAATGCATGCACCAAATCCACCTCTACTGACTTATATTCTGTATTCATATACATATATGTCTTTTTCTGTCATGTATCAAGTCAAGTGTAAAGAAGAATCATCTTCTGTCAATATTACAGCAGTTCTATCTTCGCTTATTGATGTACTTAAAAGAAAGTAACGGCACTGTTATGGTCCATACTTTAGGATCTGGTTATTGAATGGATTAGTATGGATTAGTAAAGAAGAATCATCTTCTCTCAATATTGCAGCAGTTCTATCTTTGCTTATTGATGTACTTAAAAGAAAGTAACGACACTGTTATGGTCCATACTTTAGGATCTTGTTATTGAATGGATTAGTATGGACTGATGAAGGAAAAAGCCAAAGAATCTCCAAGAGTTTAAAAGATTCAAGAAATTTTTGTGAAATTATTTTTCTGCTTATTTTATTCCTTGATAGAACAACCTTTTTAAGGCCTTACAACAAGGGAACTAATTTTTTATTGTATATAAGTGCTTCCCAGATGATAGCAGTCTTTAAACATGAAAAATCCAAGCACTTCACTGACCTACTGTCAGGATCCCAATCTCTTGATTTAGCCACAGGACTTGCTAGTGTGAGATCTTGAGGCAAGCAAGCTGTTTGCTTCCCAGTGTTCTGGTCTTGCTTGCCTATGGTAAGGCTCGTCTAAGAAAACCTGTAATCTTTGGAAGAGAAACTCTTTCAAGTAATAGCTTGTTTATTTTATACATGATTATAGCAAAACTAATTGAATTAGATCCTTCTTACAATTGTAGGAATCATAATCCTAGTTTCATTCCAAATTTAATCTAAATCTAATTATAATTTTAGGATACTCTTAGTTTTATCCAATTTCCTTACTTAAATCTAAATCTAAATACTCATTAAGAATCCTTAAATAATTCCAACTCCTATTAGTTCCTTAAAGAACTATAGACTCAAACTCCTTCCTTTTGCTGTTTCCATGAGTTCAACATCCTGCTTTTTTTTTTCTTTTTTTTTTCTATATTGTAATATTCCTTCCCTCCTCCAGTTGAAACTTGTTTGCATGTGCCAAAGTAGAATATTTTCTCATCCCTTGCTTCGTTTTCATCTCTTTCCTCATTGTTCTCAAATTCCAGCTGAAATAACTTTTTATACACATCTCCTGGGACAAATAGTTTGCCACAGTTGAAATAGAGCGCCTTCTTGCAGCAGTTTGGACGCTCGTCAGTTGTCTTTTTTTTTTTTTTTAAATAACAAATATAAATTGTTCAGCTCATAGAGCCTTGGCAAGCTCATCAGTTGTTGTCGTCCTATGATTTTCTTTGGTTGCCCCTCCTCTCATAGAGTCTTGCCAAACTCATAGCAGTAGTGACGTCAGGTTGTTGCTATAGGTTGACTTCAAAAGCAATATATTCTTGGATGCTATTGATGAAGACCACAACTTCTTACTTAGGGGTGAGAGTTGATGCATGTGCAGGATGCTGCTCGAAACGCCACTGGTACTTGGTGACCCACCCCTCTTGCTTCAATTTAATCAGTTCTCCCAATTTGTTTCTGCACAGCAGCGAGTCAAATCTAAGGTTGTCATAGGATTTTAATTCTTCTAAAGAGAACCTTGATCTTTCTCGCTCCAACTTTAAGAACCATAGTTGGGTATCGTCCTTTAGTGTCTGAAGAAGTGCTCGCACATGTTAATTCACTTCAGTAAATCAGCTGAGCCATCATAACTAGAAAAGTCTAACCTTGTGAACTGCGACACTATATTTGCCCTTATCTATTGTTGTTGGAATCAGTTAGTTTCTTGTCATTTCTTTGTGTTGAGTTGGTGTCAGTAGTCTCCCTCCTTGTAGCCGAAAATTCCCAGGATAAGCTTTCAACTTGTGCAACGAGTCCACGCTCCCTCTCTTCTGAATGGACATGATCCTCTTGGTATTGCTTCATAAACATCTCAAATTGTGTGAAAACTTTTGAGTCCTTCATGACTACCGGCTCTGACACCAATTTGTGAAG